TGAGGTCTTGCTGCCCAGGCGGGTCTCGAACCCGCAGGCTCAGGCAATCCACTCACCTCAGCCTCCCAAAGGCGCGGGATGACAGGCTGAGCCAACGAGCTCGGCTGGGAGGCAAATATTAACCAACCTGGCTTGTGACCCCATCAGGTAGGTCCTGGGCTAAAGAGGGCCCGCCTCCATCTGGTTAGGGGAAGTTAACTAGAAAAGTTAACTAGATGAGATAGTCTGTGACCAAAGGCAAATGGATGCAATAAACCATGAATTCTTTAAGAGTTCAAAAGGGGGCGAGAGTTCTTTCCTGCTTCCTCTTTAGATGAGGATGATCAAAGAACAAGCTCAGAAAGACCTTTTGGTAAACGGAATACTTCACCAACAGTTGGGAACCACAGCTGGTTGCACTGAAAGCCACCAGCAAGGAGAAGACTACAGAGCTCCCCACTACACCTTGTATCAAGGCCACTAGTCCCCAAGAGCTCTTTAAATAGCTGTAGGAGAAGGAGGTACAAAGGAAGTAATGCTTGGAAAAGTAATTGGTAATTAATTAAAAGTAATTGGAAAAGTAATTTTGCTGCCTTTATCTAAAAAGACATGAAAACCTTTGTTTCCCAAAAGGGTAATTATGACACTATTATATACAGTTAATGCCATACACATAGCCACCTTAAAATAATAAAAAGCCAGGCCCGTAACTCACACCTGTAAATTCCAGCACTTTGGGAAGTTGAGGTGGGAGGATCACTTGAGCCCAGGAGTTCAAGACTAGCCTGAGCAACATGGCAAGATCTTGTCTCTAAAAAAAAATTAGCTGGGCATGGTGTTGCACACCTGTAGTCCCCGCTACTAGGGAGGCTGAGTCGGAAGGATCAACTGAGCCCAGCAGATCGAAGCTTCGGTGGCTGTGAACGTGCCATTGCCCTCCATCCTGGGCAACAGGTAAGACTATGACTCAAAAAAAAAAAACCTTCAAATTATTGCCAATGATTTTAGTAAATAGCTGATTTTAAATGCAAGCATATTCAAAACCTCTGCATATGAAATACTAACATATTCAGAGGAGAGATCATGATCAAAATGCAAATTCCTGGCTTACTTTGGGGGTCTTTCATGAACAGGAAGAGACAGCCCTGGGATTTGTATTTTATTACTAAAAGTTAATATTTATTGAGTCCTCACTCTGTGGCAGGCACACAGTAAAGCATTTTATATGCATTTTATCATTCAATCCTCATGACAATCACATGAGGTAAGTACTACTGTGTTCATTTTATAGACAATGAAGCTGTGGCTCTCATCTGTTAAAAAACTTGTCGCTGGGCTCGGTGGCTCAGCCTGTAATCCCGCGCCTTTGGGAGGCTGAGGTGAGTGGATTGCCTGAGCCCGCGGGTTCGAGACCTGCCTGGGCAGCGACCTCATCTCTACAATAAGTCAAAAAATCAGCTGGGCGTAGTAGCGCACGCCTGTAATTCCAGCTACTCAGAAGGCTGAGGATCGCCGGAGCCCAGCAGGTCGAGGCTGCGGTGGCTGGGAGCGGCCACTGCACTCCAGTCTGGGCGACAGAGTGAGACTCCAACTCAAAAAAAAAAAAAACTTGCCAGGGGTCACGAAACTAGTAGTTGGCAGAACCCAAACTTGAAACAAGATAGTCTGTTTCTAGAACCTGCATTGTTAACCCATTGGCTCTACTGATTCGGAATCTCTGAAACAGGTGAATGTGAACTATGTTTTTCTCTGTTGTCTCCTCCCTATGCTCCAGGCCTCTCAATAAAAAAAAAAAAAAAAAAAAAATGAATCCTGAACTTTCTAATCTATGCATCTATATCACTATCTTTATTGTTTTCCCTCCTCTAAAGAAAGGTATAACTTAATAAATTGATGCATTGTCATCCATTTTTCCTGCTTTTATACATGATTTATCTTCCTTGTTTAGGTTTGCCATTAGAAGATATAAAACTAGTCATGGAGCCCTTATACGAGGAATACCTAGCAAATTGTGGAACAATCGTCAAACCTTATTACTGGCTAAGCTTCTCTCTAGATTGCTCGAGCTGTCCGTACCATATCCGAACAGGTGAAGAAGCAAGAGTTTCCTACACAGAATTTTATCAGCTTTTTGGATTTCCTTATGGGCCAACACATCCTCAAACAAAACACCTGACATTTTATGAACTTAAAACTTCTGCTGGTAGCCTGGTACAGAAGGGCCACGCAAGCAGTTGCACGGGGAATCACATCCATCCGGAGTCAATGCTGTTTGAGACAAACGGCTATCTCGACTCAGCCATACACAATGATGACAGCATCAGGCATGTCATTCTTTATTCTAACTACTCCCCTTGTAATGAAGCTAACCACTGCTGTGTCAGCAGGATGTACAATTTCCTCCTCACGTATCCATATCTCACTCTCAGTATTTACTTTTCTCAGTTCTATCACACTGAGCCTGAATTCCCTGTCTCGGCCTGGAACCACGAAGCACTTCGGAGCCTGGCCAGCCTATGGCCACAGGTCACTTTGAGTCCCATAAGTGGTGGGATTTGGCATGCTCTCCTCAGCAACTTTGTCAGTGGTGTCTCAGGAGCAACTGCTTTTCCGTCCATTTTAACTGGGAGAGCACTGGCTGACAGACACAATGCATATAAAATTCATGCCATAACAGGGGTAACACCACACTTCACCGATGTCCTTTCCCAGGCAAAAGAGAATCCGAACATAAAGGCTCAGGCGGTGTTAGACAGCTACCCCTTCAATGGTGCATTTCCCAGACAGTCCTTTCAAACGAGGAGTGGACAAATGCCGCCCAACCTAGCACCAGACCTCAGGGTTCCTGTTGTTTTTGTGCTAGTGCCTCACAGAGAACTACCGCCAATCCATGTGAGTCAAAACCCAAATAAACCCAGGAATGTCATAAGGCACTTAAATGTGCCTCAAATGTCATTCCAGGAAGTCAAGGACCTCAGAAGGCCTCCCATTGGAAGGTCAGTGGAGACAGTGGAAATCACAGAACAGTTTGAAAGTGACAAAGAGGTAGATAGAAAGAAGAAGAACAAGAAGAAAGGGAAAAAATAAAATCTACATTCCTACAGCATAAACCCAAACAATTACCAGAGGCCCTATTAGATTGGTAACAAAAACCTGGAAACTTTCTCTCTTAGGTCTGATCCAATATGGAGATAAACTGATACACCAAAAGCAAAACATAAATTATTTACTGTTTCAACTATTATAAAGCTGTGCTATTTTTAACATACTCCAAAATGTTTCCATACGCAATGTGATCTCTCTCCTATATATTAAAAGTGACAGTAGCAAATGGAGCCATTAGTACCTTGCTAATGCGGAAAAGGAATGTCATTATTCTGATCTACCCACATCATCTTTCCAGTACAAAAGCCCAGGACTAAATAGCTTCCTAAATTGGTTTCAGGAAAAAAAATCCTGTAAAACTGGAAAAAGCCAAAAGTTACTGACATTAAGTGCTGTTTGCAAAAGCAAACCAGTGATTTTCCATTAATTGTTAATCGTGGACAGAAGATTTCAGGCAGCCCATTTTTTCTAAAGTGATTCAAAATAGTTTTGTGTGGGAAAAGCTCTTCTGCTGATTACAACAGCTACAAAAATTGATTTTTGAAACGTAGCCACCTGCTCAGTTTGACGTTTCCTGGCTCATCTCTCTCCCTTCTGAGCAGACAATGGAGGCAGGATGATCCGTGAGACTCTCCGAAGACTCCTCCACCCCTACGATATGACAAACCAGTCACTCTTCCTGGCTTCCAAGGCTCCTCCTTTACCTTCCTGTTGCCTTCGTCTCACTAGCAAGATTTAAGTGCCTACAGGTCAAGCACTGTCTCTCCCCCTTGTTAGCTTTTCCCTTAGGATCCGGCACAGGATCCAACAAAAAGTGGGCAGCAAGGCTGAATCTACAGCTCAATACTTCACCAGTCACTACCGCTGCCATTCCTTCTCCACCCCAGCCAAGCACGCTCGACCATCCCGCAGTGGCATCTTTCTTTTTGTTAGCACCCATCCCCTTTCCTTATTTCAAATACACGCATAATTTGTATGTTCTACTTCCATTTATCCTGACCCCTTCTATTTCACCAGTGAATATTTGTACCTTCTCTTAAAATTTGCAAAGCACACTTCTTCCAGGAAGAGCTCCTTGACAAACCATCTGAGCACTTAAATGAAACACTTTGCTCACCTTAATTAAATCACATTTGCTGCCTCATTTCCTTCTTGGAAGTACGCAAAGATACACGACAAGAAAATGTACATTTGTAAATTGCTATTAAATTTTTTCTTAGTATATATAAAAAGTAATCTGGAAATCACAGAACAGTTTGAAAGTAACAAAGAGGTAGATGAAAAGAAGAAGAACAAGCTAATAAGAAAGCTTGCCATTTCTTAAAACATAATATGTCAAGAAAGTCCTCTTTCAGGAGCTGGAGGAGGAAGAGGAGAAGGAGGAGGAAGGAGGGAGAAAGGGAGGAAAATATTTTAGAAATAGAAATTAGTACTGTGATTAAAATAAACATGAATAAAATTTTTAAAACAAATTTCTATTGTTAGCCAGCAAATGTTAATGACATTATTGAAATATAATTTTATTGTGGGTATATGGTGATTATTAATTAAAGAAGTACTTGAGGTTTATTATTAGATTATGAAATCTTATGTCCTGAAATCATACATCCACGATTTGGGATAATGCATTTAAAAGATCCTCAACATTACAAATCCAATACCTCTGACTGTTATTAAAGCAGATCCAATTTGTTGCCATGAAATCTCTCTCCAAAATGTACAACGTGAATTAAGCTGCAAAGGATCCAATTAGAAATATGGTCTGAAATCTATGATGAACTTGTATTTCAAATGTGAGCCTGGATATCATGGTACATAACAAAAGAAGTTGCCAGAACTATAGGAAAGATAAGTGCCTTTGACAGTTCAATTGCTATGCTGAATAGGTAACACTGGGGCTAGGAAGAAGGTTACTGACAGGTCATAAGTCCAGGCCAATACAGGCAAGCCTTAGACAAACGACTGTAAAAGGAGCATAAAGATAGATGGTCCAAAGCAAGTCATCTGTTTCCTCATCCATAAGACAAGAAATATGTGCTAGTTCATCTTTAAGGCTCCTTTCAGTTCCATCGGCTGTCAAAAGGCACACAGAAAAGCAACAGTTCCAGGGAGTGAGATCGTACAGTGCAGTGACTGGGTCTCCCTGTTCACTCGGCAATGGATTCTTGGTCAGTCAGGCTGGCCCAGGGACTAAGGGAGAGAAGTTGGGATTCTCCAGCCCTCTTCAGCAAAACTAGCAATGGTGATATTAAGAACATCACTGCCACCACACATATAGAAATTCCAAGTAAGGAAAATAGAAGTAAATTGAAGCAGCTAGTAATATAGTGACCCGGGAAGGCATCGGGGTATATCCCAAGAAAATAATGAGGGAGCAGGAAGGAGCACATTACTTTGGTGAATCCAAGGCCCAGGGTTTGGGTCTCGGCTTTGCAGGCTCAAATTCCTAGTCAGTCAGTACAATGATAATGAACATATCCATCAGAAGCAGACTTGGATTAACAGAGATCTCAAGATTGATATGTAAAAACAAAAGGTGAATGCATGGATTTCCTGTGAGGTTTATGACTGGATATGCAAGCAGATATTCAAGTCATCCAGTCTTTACAGCCTCCCCACATAGGTAAGCTATTTGGAAGGCAAAATTATAATTAGATGTTCGTTTTGTGAATTAGAGGAGTTCATTACGTGGTTCAAATGTTTAGTGCTATCAGACTCTGCTTTTGTTGTGGTGACTGACATAGCTACTTGGGGTAGAAATGGCAGGTAGATATGTAAAAGTCCCTGGACAGTGTTTGGGAGGGCCCAGACTGTAAGAGACAGCACAAACCTCTATAACTAACTAACATTGATACTCTGTTTCATCAATCTCCAATCTAATCCTGCTGACCTGAGAACAAATCCTATCTCTTTAAACTGCTGTTATGTATCTTTTTTTATTCTTAGCGTATGCAGTCCAAAAAGTTTAACTCACAGAATGGAATCCTGTTCATCTGGTTTCCAAGGGTTTTTAGGAAAGCCACATGGTAACCTCTACCAACTAAAAAGAATATTATTTGGCTGGGTGCAGTGATTCACACCTGTAATCTCAGCATTTTGGGAAGCCAAGGTGGGAGTATCACTTTAGACCAAAAGTGCAAGACCAGCCTGGGCAACGTAGTGAGACTGTCTCTACCAAAAAAATCAGTAAAAAATTAGCCAGGTATAGCAGCACATGCCAGCAGTCCCAGCTAGTAGCTGAAGCAGGAGGACCACTTGAGTCCAGAAGGTTGAGACTGCAGTGAGCTATGACTGCACCACTGCATTCCATCCTGGGCAACAGAGTGAGACCCTGTCTCTAAAAAAATAGTAGTAATAATATTACTAACATTTGGTCACAGTTATATGTCAAGCACTTGTCTAAGCATTAATGTATTAATTCATTTAATCCTTCCAGTAGTCCTATGAGGTAGGTATTATTATAATACCTATTTTACAAATAAGGAAATGGTGGCACAAAGAATTTAAGTAATGTCCAAGTAGTAAAGGCTGAGCTGAGAGTCAAACCCAGGAAATCTAGCTCCAGAATCTGTGTTTTTAAGCCTTATGTCTCAATGCCTTTCTAAATAATAAGCATGCAGATTCACAACAAAGCCTGCCAAAATCAATCCACATTTAGCACCTGTCCTATGACTTTTCTTAATTCTGGTCAAAATACGTACCAACGGGCATCCTCTAGACTATGGAAGCCAGGTAGACTGGGTGAACTACAGCAAAAAACTGAAGTAGGTTCCAGATCCCAGAAGTTTGGCTCTCGACCCACCCCCCACTCCCTGTTACCCAGGACCTCAAACCAAACATAAATCCTGAAATTATCTTTAGGTGGCCCTGACTCTCAGGGAAGTATTAAGTCTGGGATCTGAGGCAATGGAACATTGCAGTATTGCTTTATTTAGTTAAAATTGAGTGGAACTGGTTCCTCAAAAAATTAAAAAGAATATTAGCATATCTGGTAATTCCCCTTCCGGGTATAAAAAACAGGGTCTCAAAGAGATATTTGTATACCCGTGTTTATAGCAGTATTATTCACAATAGCCAAAAGGTGGAACCAAACCAAGTATCCATTGACAGATGAATGGATATACAGATGTGGCATATACCTACAATGGAAGACAATCAGCCTTAAAAGAAAATTTTGACACAAAGCCACAGCATGGATGAGCCTAAGGAACATTGAGTTAAGTGAAATAAGGCAGGCATAAATAGACAAATGCCTCTTGATTCCACTTATATGAGGTACCCAGGTAGTCAAATACATAGAAAGTAATATGGTGGTTGCCAGAGGCTGGGGAGGTGGGAGGGGCAGGGAGTTAGTTTTAGTGGGTATAGAGTTTCAGTTTTGTAAGATAAAAAGAGATCTGGAGATGAATGTCATTAATGGCTGTACAACAATGTGAATGTGCTTAACTGTATACTTAGAAATGATAAGAAAAGATGGTACATTTTATGTTATATGTGTTTTACCATGTTTTTAAATGGAATTACTAGTTGACACCTACTGATCTCTCTAAATATCAAAAAAAGGGCATTTTGTGTCACACTAAGTATAGGATACAGCCTCTATGTCTAGTCTCAAAATACTAGATAAGGTGAGAAAAGTTCACAGGAATATCTGAAAAACGAATATTTTTTTAAAATCATAATAAGTTGGGGTTTTTTAGGTTATAAAAAGTTTATTTAGAAGGTAAATTAGAGGAAAAGGGTGGATCCATCTCTTCAAGATTGAAGAGGGAGCTGAGCGCTGAAGAAATGTTTGGCCATAATAAGTTTTTTTAGGGTCACAAGTTATAGCTCATTTCAAGCTATTATGTAGGTTTATTTAGATCCTTGATACTTGGTTATATCCTTATTTTTAGAAAAAATGAAGTATTATAGTTGGGAATAATGAGAAAGACTTACTAAAAATAAAGTGTGATTAAAAGTGCAAGCCTCAGCCGGGCTCG